TTTATTTGTCTGTCATTCGATTTTGAACTTTGCATCAATTGTTTAAGATTAATTCATTTAAATTTGATTGTAGGCCTTCTTAATCAATTTTCAACTCTCTTGACTTCAATTTTAATTTCGACTTCTTGATCATTTAGGTAAGTTTTTTGTTCCTTCTATTCTGTTGCATCATTTAAACTGACTTCTCCACTTTCTCCTGACTTGCTTTAATGTTAGTTCATAGCTGCATAGATTCCAATTTCAATTCTTGACTTCTTTCTTGTAGATCAACTGTTTGGGGATTGATTAATCTACTAGGTGAGTTTTCATTCTTGATTCATCAATTCTAATCTTATTTGTGTAACATCAATGTTGACATTTTCAATTTTTGACCCTCTTTTTTTTTCCAAGGTATGTATGTATCTCATTTATTTATCTTTTTTGTATGTATTGTTTTTATTTGAACTTCTATGTCTGTATAAAATATACCATTTTGAATGTAAGATTGATGTTCATTGAGAATAACAAGATCCATATAGTGATAATTTGAATTGAAATGATGATTTTGATTATTTGTCTTGAGTCCACATGCCTTGATAAAAATTGAAGAGTGTGATTTATGGATCTTTTCTTTTTTCTGTTGTGAGTTGATCTAATGTAATAATAAAAAAAATGATATGAGATTAAGACGTGATCATAGGAATTGCTTTCCACACCGTATATGTATTTGTGAAATAAATCGTATTTGAATACTAGTTCATCTGCGAGCTCCTCCAATTGACTGTCTAAAATATTACTTCTCTTTTTAGTAGCCTTTCTTTTCACGCTACTATCCACAATGTTCTCTTCAAGTTTTTCTGTGTTAGGATCTAAGAAGCCATCCACACTAAAAACATCTTCCATTGCCTGACAATAATTTGACTTGGTCAATCTGGGCATGTTATGAACTAGCATATCAGAAGCTTCTGAGTCACAATTAGAGCACTTGCAATCTTGAAACTCTGCAGCTTTTTCGCGTGCTTGTTCAGCAAGAACCCGTGGGTCATTTTTTTTAAAAGGGATCACACCGATTCTGAGTATTTCACACAAGAAACCAAAAAGATTAGATACATATCAAGAGTTTCAAAGGCTAAGAAAAGCTCACGTGTTTCCAAGAGAGAGAGCTACCCTGAGACATATAGGTGTTATAGCGAAGGCATCCATGAGGTCGTCATCTTTCATTTCTTTCTTATTGTCAATATTATCAATATTGTTAGTTCCGTTTCTCCGATTTGCTTCCACAAGGTGAATTGCTAGTCCAGTTCCGCTGCCCCGTCCACACCGACCAAAAAGTTGAGCAAGTTCGGGAAGGCCCATACGTCCCATGACAATGACTTTCATGACTGTAGGCCAATCCTGACCCAGACCAAGGGCATTGGTACAAGAAATGATCAGAAAGGCATCCTTGGTATACCCTTCAATTGTCCGAAGCTTCTCTTTACGTCCAGTACAGGAGTGATACCTGCAAATCAAGGTACTATCAGGATCGCACTTGCCTTTTGGAGTTCCTCTAGCGTCATTGACCACTTCCATCACTGTTCCTGTGGCATTCCTTGATCCAGAGTAGATCAGCGACTTCACCAGTTGATTATCAGGTACAAATTCTTTCCTAGAATAAAGCGCTCGTAAAGCTTTGGTCAACGCAGTTCCTGAGGGTATTTTGATGCGGATGATACGAATGTTGGACCGACTGAGTTCCCCTCGCACAATCTTGAGATTATGTTCTTTGATACTCAAGCTTGATAGAATTGAAGAAAAGGGTCCTGGTGCACACGTCGCGGACATCATCAGAAGTGGGATCTTATTTGTTGCTAGGAACCGAAGACAGAGATTGCCATAAGACGGCCGAAATTGACCACCGTCCTGTTGACGCATGAAGGCATTACACTGGCTTGCTCGCCCACTTTGCACCAGCCCCCACCAATATATCATGTGTGCTTCGTCAATCACCTTCAGAACTAGGTGGTCCTGAAACCACGTGCTGAAATATAATATCTCAAAGAGCTTGTTATTTAGAAATATCTCGGGGCTCTGTGGAGTTCTATAATCAGCTGACATTGTAGATGTGTGATTTTTAAAGAATACTACTTACAACATAGATCACACTATAAAACCCAGCCATAATCTTCAGAACCACCGCTTCTGACATGTTTTCCTTTGTGAGATTCACGCCCTTGATTGACCATCTCTTTTTCTCAGCAACCTACAGGCAAAACATACATCAACACCTTGGACTTGAGAAAGATTGGGATTGAACATACCTGATTGTCACCCAAGGCATCTAAGGGGTTTATCACGATACATACAGGGTGTTTTTTTTTGGGAAACAGATCCATGAACATCTCAGCAATTCGAGTCTTTCCATAGCCTGTACCGGCCAACACAAATGTGTCAAGACCTCTGACCAAAGCCACCACTGCTTCAACTTGTAGTTTTTTTGCTTTTGTTTTGTATTTCTTGAAATGATTATCCTCAATGAGCTTAGACAGCTGGTCGTCTGTCAAGGCTAAAATTTCGGGTGAAAGAGCAACTTTGGATCTAATTTGTTTCGTCAATGCGGTAGCAGGCAGAGGCGTGAGGTTTCCCGACGAACGAAGCGCGCGCTTTTTAGCTGGATGGGTGATGTCGGCGCTGCGAAGTGTCCTTTTTAGCGGAGATTCAGAAGTGAGCATTTTGGTCATCACGCTGATTATCAGAGAATCACGATGAGAGAGAGAGCCTTCAGGATTACAATGATCTATTTGTGTAATTTGCTTGCGTTGAAAATTAAAGAATCTGAATGGTACAAGCTGTCCACCTCACTCGCAAGGTCTCTTCTCAGCAATTTTTTTCATCTCTCTGCCAATTTTTCTCTTTATGGGAAAAGAGAGAGAGAGACTCTCTCAGTGTCCAAAACGTTTGGTCCGTCAGAATTTCACCGCAGTCATGAGAATGAGCATCCAATAAGTTACATTGGTTTGCTCGACCACAAGAGCACTCATCCAAATCAGCAAGACCATATCACCACATAGGCTTATGTACAAGATGAAGGAGATCAGTTTGGTCTATTCATATCTCATGATTGATTGAGTGAGTTAGACGCTATTGTCAATTTTGTCCAAAAATCACGGAAAACCCCAAATTTGGAATTGGCATCACGCCAAAGATTGCCGATAAGTCGTAAGTCCCTCCTCCGCGAGCTCCCCCGGGACGCGCGCGCTTTGAGGAGGGACTTAGTTAAGTTAGGATTGCGAGTCAAATACCAGAGATAAAGAAAGGACCTGTGACACGAACCATGTGACACGCTATAGCTGTTAATGCCCCTTTAGGCCTACCACCACAGAATGCATCACAAAAACTCGTAAGAAACCATTGAAATGCTGGTTCTGAAGTGTTATCGTCGGGTTTCATCTGAAAAAGTGCTGACCACCCTGATATCACACATTTTGCGTGGCCGTGAAAACAGACAGAGAGAATTTGAAGTAGTGCGCATATAATCAAGTTTGAATGGTTTGTGAGTGTCACCTTGGATGTCATGCGTCCAGAGGTAATATCACCTGACTGTCACAAGGCCTCAGTGAACTTGACATGACCGAGGCGGCCGAGCAGCGTTCAACGTGATCAACGCGTCCAAGATTCCGTAAAGCCTTCTTCACGTCGAATTCTAATTTCAGCTCGAACGCGATTGAGATACCAACTGTCCTGATTCAATCATCATTCATATACCAATCCACATTCGATCTCATAGGAAACATCGCCCTCTTGGAGCGAAAAATGTCTCAACCACGACAAAGCTTAAACCCACCGAATCGACCTCCAGAAGATGAATCAGAGCCAATCCTTTCCCCAGCTCAAATATGGGATGAAACAACTACATTAGTTCAAGATACCACAGAAGTCATCAAGGAAGGTATAGATGAAGATCCTGAACTGGTTTATCAAGCACTCAATCAAACTTTTAAATGGTTAGAAAGATGTCGAGAAAAATTAGAAAATGGGAGGAACGAAATGAATCGTGAGTATCATCTTTGGTAAAAAAATATTCTACAAGTCTTGAACTACTGATCGATTTTGAATATTCATTTATTTGCGCAAAGGAAGGTTTCGAGCGTCAAGCTGAAGCTAAGCAAGAGGCTTTGGACAAGATGAAAGCCAACTCAGTGGTGAGAGAAACACAAGCAGAGATTTACGCACTCAAACAGGATTCATATGAAGAAGCGAGAAAGTTGAAAGTTTGTAACGTTCCATCCTCAATTGCTAAAATCAGTCAAAGAGCTAACCAGAATGCTGGTTTAGGAGCTTGATAGTAATGTAGGGGTCACCAAGGCTCAAATCGCTCGTTTGCAAGCTGAGTGCAAACAACTTGAACATTATGAGCCTAGTCGGTCACCGTCCGGCGACTTTGTTTTTGGTACTTCATTGTAAAGTTTACATACCAAGATATGTAGAGCCAGTATTGTTAACATTTATCATTACAACTCAGATTGAAAACCAAACTTAATCATGAACTTGGGTTTGTACAAGTACCCCGCCGGACGACATCTGAAAAACCCTCTGACAAATTATTTCTGCGTAAGTTTCACACTTGTACCGCTTGACCTCGTCTTCCACTCATCCCTCGCTAATTATCCTTGGTTGCATGATATTCAAACACAAAAGGATGTGATTTACATCCTGAATCTTCACGAGTGGTCCGGAAAGCCGAAAATAATCGAGATGGATTTGTCTTGGGTAATCAACTATGGGATTTGATTTCACCTTGAGTCGAGCAACTCTGTCACTTCGACAACTTGTAAATCAGGACCTGTACTTTCCAGCATATTGTAATTTTACTCCAGGATTTATATCTCTAAGAACAAAGTTTTCGGTGTGTGTTCTAATACCTCAGTTCATCGCGTTGTTTGACCAGATAGGCTCAGAAGGTGCGACTGGGCTGTAAAGTAAACAATCAAGAAGTCAATATTCTAATACTCCCTTGCAACGTACTCGTCTATTTTTGAACATGATACATGTGATTTTCAGAAACCAACCTGCGATCCCAGACATCTTCACTATTAGGTCTTTCCAAGATCTTCTCAGCTTTCCTTTGATGCCACAAACCAGCACATTGTTCTTTATCAAGAGCTTTCAAACTAAGACAAAATTTGAAATTGTCCAACTTTGATGGACATGAATGATTTGATTCACCATAGCAATAGATTGATTTAAGTTGATTTGAGAGTGAATAACATAATAAAAGGTTATCAAAGGCTGTTAGACATGAGATTGATTTGTTGCCTGAGATTAAGTGAGTATGAAGTTCTAAGGAATATCCTGAGGCTGAGAATCTAACGTCTGAGGAATTCCCTGAGGCTCAATGGCTTCTGATCAATCACTCGTGCATCTCTCAGTCTATGCTGAGTGGGATACTCAGTAGTGAAACTAACCCGCAATAAAGTTGGAACAAAGTTGAACCAAATCGGGACATTCTACCCTTCTCGACGTCGAGAAGGGAGGTGGTGGACGCAGTGATAAGGTGCTGGGGCAAGACAACGAGATTCAAAGCGCTTTTGGGGGGGCATATACTGTTTGGTGTTAATAAAGGTTCCAAGGTTATGTTCACGCTGGCCAATGGTATGCATTGCGCACATCGAGGATTTTGGATAGAGAGCAGATGTCACATAGATAATAAAATGTGTTAAACAAATTGTAATAATTCTCAATTGCCAAAGTAAACAAATAATGAGATAAACAGTGACCGCAGTGGAATTAGTTGCAAAAACCGACACCATATAGAACAAATGCTTTCTTCATAGCCGAAGGGTATCCTGTGCAAAGGTCAAGGATCTTCGATTGGAACGTTTTTGAATCTCTGGTGTCATGGCATTGGATGGTGATGGTGCCGTAGCTCGTCCCGTTTTTGAGAAAAGCTTTACAGCTGCGCAAGATCCAAATCCGAGTGGATTTTTACAGCGCATTATACATGTGTCTTGGCCTGTTCCACCGCTGCATTCAGCATCCCTAATAGCGGACAGAGAAGGGGAATAAATCAATAAAAGTTCCGTACGAAAAGACATTCACTTTTGCACTTACGGTGGAAAGACTGAAGTGAGAGGATATGCAAATTCTTTAGCCTCAGGGTTTTTACCACCTTCGCCTTCAATTTGTAAACTGATGTTCATTGGTTTGAATACCTTCAAGCTCATGTCAGATGAGTAACCGCATTCGTATGGTCCTCCTCCATCGGCATTGTGGGCAAACATACTCATCGGAACTGAGCCATCTTCGCCAGCGGCTGAAATGCCATCGGCTTCGGCTTGATAATTGCAGGTTTAATGTTAGAAATGGGTTAAAGGAGAATGAGACTAAGAGTAAACTTACCGATTGCCATTTCTTTTTGAACATCTACAGCAGACGCTGGTAAACCATCACCACCAAATATTCTACCACAAGGTCCAACTTGACCAGAAGCCATGTCACCTGTATGGATTATACCGGTGTTTTGTACTAAAGTACCACGAGAGGTGAGTCTTGTACCAAAACCTGTCGATCTTTGTCCATTTGAACCTTCTATTGCTAGTATGAACGAATGAGCGTTGGTGGAGCGAAATATGGAGAAGATTAACACAGTTGTAATTTGGAAAAATTGGCGGCTAGGCATCTTTTAAAGGATTATGAAATTAGAGTGAAGTGAGGGTTGAAATTCTGCGCGACGAGATCAAAGACGGGTGAAAATGCAAAAAAACGAAAGTGACAACTTCAAGTCGTCGAAACGGGAAGTGAAAGGGCGAGATCAAAAAGACAGATATTAAAAAACGAAGGTGACAACGTCAAGTCGTCGTTGGAAAGGTAAAAGGACTAAAATAAACAAAAGTTAAATGCTATCAAAAAGGCTTTGAAGAGCGAAGACGTTTGAGAAAGGCTTGGTTGATGTAGTGATAGACTTGAAAAATCTGCTTGATGAGTGTGATTATAAGGAAAATCCGGAATACAACAGACTCTCTATTCCCTAGGCATTGAGGTCGCCATTGAGCATTTGCCGGTGTTGTTGGTCAGTTTGAACCATTCGTTGCGAGCTTTTCCTTCCCGGCGAGCGAAACTCGAGAAAATGACTTGCCGTGGTGTTGAATTGAGTTTGTCAACAGTAAAGACTTCTCAACCTGCCAGTCTAGAAAAAATCGTAATGAGGATTTGACCCAGCATTGTCGCTGCAACAATGTTTGGGTAATTGTCCGAGCACAACTAGACTGGATGGAAGATGTTGATGAAAAACGTCACAACTTGCAAGCAAAACTTTCAAAGCCAACAAACCTGTCTGTCATTGACGAACTCACATCAATGTGCCCTCATAGGGTTGCGAGCTTCGACAAGGTTCATAAGCACTCCTTCACGATCCCAGCTTTGCCCATAGTACAGCTCGGACGTAGATGAAATCAGGATACCTACAGATGGGCTTCGCTGGATAGATAATTCCCCAAACCAACTTGAGATGGAAGCATGCTGCCAAGTTGAGGAAGCCAGTGTTTATTCAGTTCACCTTCGCTTGACCACGTATCAGTTTCCTCATCCATCGCTAATAAGTATGTACCTCGCTGCTTCTCGCACGCTTCCTTTTCCGGTGAACAAACGTCTTTCGAGCCAACAAAATGCTCCTCGAGAAACTTCACCTGTACTTATTTAGCTGAACAAAGCAGATGAGGGGTGTTATTGCCCACTTTTTCCCTATGAGATTTTGTTCAGTCTTCTCATGACCTTGATAACATATGTACTGTCGTTCTCGAAAAGCTTGTCCAAGTTTTCCCGCCAAATTGCTCGAGTTTTGCGGGAAAACTCGGACAAGCTTTTCGAGAACGACATTACATATAGTGAAAACGCAACACGAAGGACGCTAACTCATAGAAATTGCATCAAGACCAAGTTTAAAAACGTAACTTACTTTAATGAGAGAAAGAGTTTTGCCTCAATCTTCAGTCAATGACGGTGCACCTCGGGGTGCCTTATTCAACTGCTCGAAGCAGTGAATAGAATGTACCATACAGCTGCTTCCAGCATCCACTGTCGCATCTCACCTCGTCTCATCCATCTCGCCAGACCGGTACCCAAATTATACAGTCAAACCGGAAATGGTTGCCAAAAACAAAAAAATAAAAAGTCCAAAGAGGACGTGCGTCGGGACGACAGGTGCTGCTCATGAGTACCCGGGCCCCGCACCGGCGAAGCATGATTACCCGGTTGAGGATCCGGAAATCTGTTCTCAATCGATTTAAGTACCCTCTGCATGCAGAAATGCTTCGAGAGGCCAGATCCATGGAAAACACCACGAACGACTTCGACAACCTCTTCATCCGGATCCATGGGGTCCTTCCCTTGCCTCAACCGGTTCTTCTTCCCCTCAACTTCATCCTTTCGAATCAAGTTTTGGCCGCAAAACATCCTTTTCTTACCGTTTTCGCTATTCCCAATCAATCGCTTTCATTTCGCCCTTTGTTTCCACAAAGTCGTCTCATTTTAGCCACCATGTCGTCCCAATATTCTGCTTTCATCGCCTCCAAGATAATGAAGCTCACCCTCTCTCCCTGTAGACCATTTGGGGATCAAAGCGGTGTTGGAATATCTCGCCCAATGGTGTTTGGCACCTTGGTTCACCATCCTCTGGGTTTCGTGGATCCACACGGTTACAACGGAGCGTTCAATCCGTGAGTCATCAGGTTCCAAGTGTTGTACATTGAGACGGTGGCTAATCCTGGGTCGTTCTCGATATAGGCCGATGGCTCAACCTGGCGTGACCGGTATATCCCGCCAGTCGAGTGTGGCCAATTTGGGCGATGAAGTGCCAGTCTTTTTCGATCCCAATGTTTCATCAGGAGTCGAACGGGTCAATCCCACCCAAGGCACGCAACATCCGGACATCGCCTTGAGTGATTTGGTGGATGAACTGGAATGGACCCCTCCATTCCAAGCGTGCAGTGTCCGAGTCTTCGAGGCGGCAATGCGTTCGGATGCTTGTGTGGCCAACGACGCCAATGGTCAGGGTCAACCGACTCGTGAGGAATCTGTCTTGTCTATTGATTCAATTGAATCGCCCATTGAGACTCCAATTAAAGGAAAAGGTGAGCGTTTTGAGACGAACACGGATCTCACTTCGTTGCGCTGACAGTTGAACATTTTAATTTTTAGGCCCTGTGGTTCCAGTTAACGTGATGGGATCTTATAACGTCAAGCTCTCTTACCTCATGTACACTGAAAAAGGAGTCAATCCCCTCAAAACCTCAACTCAAAATTTGAAGAACGGTACCGGCAAATGGATGCCTTATCAAATCGATCCCACCACGAAAATCATTGACATTGACAACAATGATTTCCTGGCTCTTAAGGAAATGTTGTTTACGGTGGCCGACACTATCGGCACCGATGCTCCTCCCGGAGGAAACAGTGCAATTTTCAAGTTGGCCAATGCTAGCGGATCCGTTTCTATCTGCGTCTACATAGATCGTCACGATGTCTTCAGTCGTAGCAAGAGTTGCAAGCTTGTCAAAGATCAGGACGTACAAGATTTCTCTGCGGCGGTCCAGGCTTGTCCTTTGCAAGAGGCAGGTATCTCCATATCAATGGCTGATCCTGCTAAGTCTGCGAAAATCGCTGACACTGTAAGTACTTTATATCCTTACGTAAAGTTTTTGACTTGGTCTGATACCCTTTTCCGTTTTTAGAAAATTGCTATGGCTCAAACTTGATTGAAGGCCATGAGCGCCATGAACACTTCTTTGCTCACTACTTCACAACTCACGGATTCTATTCCGCTTGACCCAATTCAAGTGAAACTCGAGGCTCTCATCAAGAAGTACGGATCTCTTGAGAACCACAGCCGCGGAGGTTGGCGCGTGTATAAAACCCAAGAAGCTTCAAAATACATGCAAATGAACTATGAGCACTTGCATAAGTGGGCTGAAGAATTAGTGAGTCTATGTGTGTAACCTGATGGCTTTGTGATGTGAAATTGATCAAGATGAATCTATAGGCAGAAGCTCAACGAGGTGTCGATTTAGAGAATCCACCAATGTACCTTGAAGGTTTCAAATGGACTGATGTGAAACGGCCTTTGTCAACTGCGGCTCCCCAAGCCTCCAACAAAAAGAAACACGCCTCCGACTTCAAAGCTCCTTTTTTGGGCAGCATTGGCGGTTACACCAAATGCCAAGGTTATCACATCAAGATCAATCGTGAAGAGCTTGAAGAAGTGAAGAAGTACTGTAACTTGGACGAATTCCTCGATTATGCCAGTATTACGCCTTTCTTTGTGTCCAAATTGGCGGAGTTGTTACGCGATCATCACATCGACAGTTTCGAACAATTCCTCTTTCCCGAACTTATGAACATCCGCGACGTGCTTGGATTAGGGATCTCTTGGGGGATGGCTATGAAATTATTTGCACAAAGTTGTCTTTTTTATAAACAAATCAAGAAAGAGATTTCCACCTGTAATCGTATCAGCGCGCGCGAAGGTCCATACCACCTTTTGAAGAAAGGGGCCACCTCAGGAGCCAGCGAATCCAGTTCGAATGCGCCTCAAGCTGGACCTAGCCAACTGCCCTACACGGGGCCACCTCAAGGTTCTGGTGCAGACTCTGTGCTTTAAACAGCTTGTCGCCAGTATTGAAAGCGCTCTTTCAACAAGATCTTTCACAATTTAGGTTGTATGATTTCATGTTATTTTGGATTGTGAGCTATGATGTTGTGCAACTTATGCCTACCAACTTGTGTGTGCGCGCTCTTGTGAGCATTTGTGGATTTGTAAGACCTTGGTCTTTGTACAGGCAATATGCTAATTGAATAACAATTATGTTTGATTTTGCCCCCAAAAAAATTTGAGTTGCAATAAATTTGCGCTTGATCAGACAACCTGTTCAAGCTATGCCCCCAAAAACTGAGGCAGAGGTTTCTTTAAACCAGCAGTGAAATTCTTTGGCCAAATTTGGCATACGCCACTTTGCCTTATTGCCCAAGGCTTAAATTGCCCACGCCCTGAGTTGGAACCTCTACAAGAGTGGCACAATTTGGAGACTATCTCGCCATCAAAGTGACCAAGATGAGTCTTTGTTGGCGAGATAGTCTCAGTTTTTTTTGGGTGGACTTCGCAGATGAGAGAAAAATTTGAAAACAAAAGAATTCATTTCTTTAACCAAATGTACGCCTTTGCGTGTATTTAAGCCAACTCCAAACATCTAAGTATACCTCACCAAAACATGACATATCAAATCCTCCATCAGGAGGATCTCAGGATAAAGGAAGATCAATCACTGAAAATCACGCGCACATAAAAGAAACATTTCTGGGGACTCAATAATGTGAGAAACAGTAAAGACAAAAAAAACAAAACTTGACACCATAACAAGTGCATTGGGGTAGACAAGGGCCATCACAAGAGGCAACAGAGGCTCTATCTAAAGGTCAAATCGTTCATTGTACTTCTCCCAGTAGGCATCAGTGGTGTAGCCACTGTTAACCATTAACGGTTGCAACAAACGTCTAGTCATCACCCTACCAGCCAAACGAAGGAGATAAGTTGCCTTATCATCAATCCAATGCCAGACTTTCTCTCTTTGAAGTCTGTGTTTCATCGCGGCAAAAGCCTTCTCGATGGGATTCAGATTGGGAGAATATGCCGGTAAATTGTAAGGTTGAGGATCACTCGACCTTCACTGGGGGTGACTCACAGGCCGAAGCCTAGACTGATCTATAACCAAGGTGTATTTCACTAGAATAGTAGTCTAGACCACAACAAAAGGTCAGAGAAGAAGCCAGAGATCAAGAGTGGAGAAGAGAAACCTCCGAGAGGGAGACCATACCTAGACCACAACAAAAGGTCAGAGAAGAAGCCAGAGATCGAGAGTGGAGAAGAGAAACCTCAGAGAGGAAAGAAGGAAGGGAGGAGAGGGATGGACAACATATATACCCTCTCTATACAGATACTAAAGATATGCTACAACTGAGTAATCTCCTTCCTTACACCCTCCCCTCCTAAAAAACAACCCACTCCCTAAAAATCATATAAAAGTTAAATAATCCAATTGGAAAAATGAAAAAATATCCCTCCATCACAGAGTCACAGAGTCTATGGAAAAGGTAATATGGGACAACAGAGAGTAGAAAGAATATCAAGAACCAAGAAAAGAAGACTTGAACAAAGACCAAATAGAAGACATTAAAGAAGAATTTAAGTTGTTGAAATTGAAATCCCATTTTCAAGTTGAAAGATCAATGTGCCATCAAAGGAATATAGCAGGACGTCTTGATCAAAAGGACTTTTGTTACAATCCTTACCGAGGTAAAATCCTTGATCATCTGTTTCCAGTATGCATAGACCAGGATGACGCTTAACAAGTATATCAGATAGTTCTTGAATTTGAGATTGTGTTGGCGGAGGCGGATAATTGTCAGATCCCGGTCCATATGCAGGTGCAGGTGGTGTCAGTTCAAAATTAAGGGTATCAGGTACTTCTGTCTCTAGAATGATTGCTTTGGTCTTTTTCTTTTTCTTCTTCTTGATTGGAACACAAGTAGGATCACACACAGCAGAATGAGCAACACTAGAGGTGAGAATTGTTTGATCTGTAGGAGTAGGTTGATTTGTCCTTGTGAGAGATTCGTTTGAGTTCGGGTCAATAACAGAATTTGATATTGTAGTTGAGTTCAATGGGTGAGCATTGAGGTCCAATTTGGTGGAATCAGGCCGAGCGAGTGTTGTAATACAACTGTTTGGGTCAGGATCAATATCTGAAGATTTTGATGACAGAGACAAGCTGATCCGATTAGACAGAGACTCAGAAGGAGGAGACTTGATAGACTGATAACAGCTGGGTCCGACTTGATTATCTGACATTGATTCTGGAAGCGAGCTCATTGGGTCTGAGTGTGATTCAGAAGAAAGCAGTTTGATTGGGTGATCATAGCTGGCTGCGGCTTGATCACTTGATTTTGCTGGTTCGGAGTTGATCACGTCTGTTTGTAGATGGTCCGGTGAACGCAACAAGGCTTCAATCATCGCGCGGACCTCACTCAACTCCTGTCTTAACTCTGCCTGACTTTCTCGGGTCTGATCGAGCTCCCTCAACTCTTGTCTCAACGCTACACAACTTTCTTGGGTCGGATCGAGCTGAGATTGAGGCTTGTTTGTAGATTTCATTTGAGTGTCTACAATTGAGTCGTTCGCCAATTCTCCCTCAGTATGTATAGGAGTCTCTAGTGAGTGTTTAGCAGTGTTCCCTGAGGGTTCCAGATCGGACAACATGGGTAGTTTATGATAAAATTGATGTTCGGCCGGGCTAGCAAGGTCTAAGAAAGGGAATCGAGGAGAATGAACGCTCCTTGAGCGAGTTCGTCTATCCAGCTCTGGGAATGGTGGTACAGAATGAGGCCGACTTGGAGGAGAATAACTTGACCAATCAGATGACATTGAACACAACACAGGTTCGGCGATGGTACTTGGCAATGGAGACATCACCACAGGTCGAGTGAAAAAAACTGGCAAGGGCGGCATTGAACTAGGTCGAGTGTCATAGGGGACTTCGGGAGGAGTTTTGCTGGGCTCAAAAGGTGTGTTGCAGTGCTGGAGAGGGAAGCTGTGGTATCTTGCTGACTTTGTAGAGTTTTCAGTACGCCGACGCCAGTTCTGCGATCGAATTGAGGGCTTTCTCCGACAGGCATTAGGTGTAAGTGAAGTTCCAAAGCCATGAGAATGCAGATGCGGTGCAAAGTTCGAGACAAGAAGATTCAGATGATGGGCCAGTGCCGAAACCTGATGTATCGCACTGATGATGTGAGGTGACAGATTCAAAATTGGATAAGAAATAGGCAAGCTTGGATGCCCATATGGGTGTGAATATGAATGTGTCATCTTTTCAAGGTAAAACCGAGGCTGGTTATGAGTGTTCTATTGGCACGACCATTGCTATAGGAGAATTCCCAAAAGGAGGCTGTGTTCCATTGAATTAAAACTGTGTAAAATGATATCTGGGAGTTTGACTTAAAACACCGTTGGCAGTGAGTGTGATCTGGAAGTTGAACTTGAAACGCCGCAAGAGGCGAGTGAACAGTGTGCTGAATCTCTGGATGGATAATTGAAAACTCTTAAAACACCATTAATGGTGAGTCTGATTTGAACTTGAAACACCGTGTAAGGCGAGTGAACAGTCTGCTGAGTCTCTGGTCTGGCTGAATAGCTGAAAAAAATCGAATTTGTTGATCACTGGATTTGAGAGTTGGTTTGAAGTCGGTATAGATCAAAAAAGTGTAAGGTCGAGGATCACTCGACCTTCACTGGGAGGTGACTCACAGGCCGAAGCCTAGACTGATCTATAACCGAGGTGTATTTCACTAGAATAGTAGTCTAGACCACAACAAAAGGTCAGAGAAGAAGCCAGAGATCGAGAGTGGAGAAGAGAAACCTCCGAGAGGGAGACCATACCTAGACCACAACAAAAGGTCAGAGAAGAAGCCAGAGATCGAGAGTGGAGAAGAGAAACCTCAGAGAGGAAAGAAGGAAGGGAGGAGAGGGATGGACAACATATATACCCTCTCTATACAGATACTAAAGATATGCTACAACTGAGTAATCTCCTTCCTTACATAAATACACTAAAAGGATGCCTTTTTCTTGACAAAGAGCCTCTATGTCACCACCGTGGTGAATCTTTGCGTTGTCGAGGACCAGAACTGAGTTGGGTGCCGGGTAGGCGTTCATGACCGGGAGCTATCCAGGACGGACCACGATGGTTAGATTCAAGGTAAGCGCATGAACTACAAATCAGAAACCACCTACCAAATGGCGCTTGAGGAACATCTCAACGTGAATGCGTTCCACGGGCCCCTTCACCACCACACCCGTGATCATCCCTTGTTCACCAACAGCAGGCAAGATCGTCCAGTGATCTCCATCGCTGTATCGCTTGGTTCGCACCGTTCTGGTGCCTCTGGGAGCCCATGACCGAGGTCGCATGGCATCTTGCCCGACTACGCCAGACTCGTCTAAATTTAATCACAAAAAAGTGGGAATATGAGTCAGAATCAGAAAGATTCGAAATAACCAAAAGAAAAGCCTAACCTATAAAGACAAAACACTCTGGAGGTATGCCAGCCACCGTTCTAATGTAATTGGCTCGGTCTCTGATCGATTGTTTGTGATGAACACCGCGGGTGACTAACAAAGAGAGGCCAAGTCGATCATGCAGTTCATCACCAATGGTGGTTTTTGAAACTTTGACTCCCGTCTCAAGTTCTAACTTGCTTTGGACCTCGTCTAAGTACATATCGGGGTTTTTCAGGACTATATTGCGTAATACAAGGAGATGTTCATCGGATAAGATGTGCGGTCGGCCACGTGTTTCGTACTCAGCAGGATCTCGAACTACGGCGTCGGTGGTTTTGAAAAGGTGTTTCCAACAGGCAATGGAACGGGGGGAGATCGAGTGATGAAGGGTTTCATTAATGTCGGCTAAGGCATGGTCCTCCAGCGCCATTTTGGTGGCAGCGAGATTCAAGCCGGCGGAGTACTTGCAAAATCCCATATCGGGTTCCAGAATGATGGGATGATGACCAAGGTGGACGATAAAGCGAAATACAAGATGGGTTGGGGGGAATTCAAAGCTGATAAGGCGCCCGTTGGACCCTATGCAAGTTGGATCGTGCCCATCTGTGTGCTTGGGGCAGTATTGTTTGGATCTGGCCCCTCGAAGCATTTCTGCATGCAGAGGGTACTTAAATCGATCGAGAACAGATTTCCGGATCCTCAACCGGGTAATCATGCTTTGCCGGTGCGGGGCCCGGGTACTCATGAGCAGCACCTGTTGTCCCAACGCACGTCCTCTTTGGACTTTTTATTTTTTTGTTTTTGGCAACCATTTCTGGTTTGACTGAACATGTACCAAGAAGTTTTTTGAGATTCTTTACACTCAACTTAGCCGGATAAGGCTTAGAAACCCCTATGGCACCTACACATGACTTACACAATGTAAGCAGGGCATAGAGCAGCCCTGAGACTTGCAAATACGTCATCCACCCTCAAGTCTCGAGTCCTCAAAGTCTCAAGTCCTCAAGTCTCAAGTCGACACACCCTGACCCACCACTACAACTCAACTCCACTCCGTCACTCAACTTACCACCGCTGCTCTATGCCACGTCAAGATCTCAGGTTTGGCGGGTTTGATGGGAATCTTGTAACGATTTGGCTCTCAAGAGCTCGGTGGTGGGCCAGAAGATTTAAGGAGAACCTGGGGTAATCAGGTCTGCGTGAGTACGGCACAAGCCACTGAGCTACAAGAGCTAAATCAGAAAATGACAAACCTGGGGTAATCAGGTCTGTGTGAGTACGGCACAAGCCACTGAGCTACAAGAGCTAAATCAGAAAATGAAAAACCTGTGCAACAAGCAACAGGAGTCACGAAATGAGATCAAGTGAAAAGACTATGAGTAAAAATGCGTAATAAGATTCTTTTTGATCATCAGAGACTCAGCATACCTGGGGTAATCAGGTCTGCGTGAGTACGGCACAAGCCACTGAGCTACAAGAGCTAAATCAGAAAATGACAAACCTAACAACACACAACAGTTAGTAAAAAGGAAAAAGCAATACGAGTAAGAAAACAAACAGACCTGTGCAACAAGCAACAGGAGTCACGAAATGAGATCAAGTGAAAAGACTATGAGTAAAAATGCGTAATACTATGAGTAGAGAGACATTTGTTAGATTTAGAGATGTTTGTAAAAAGTAAGTAGAGAAATTACTTACAGATTCTTTTTGATAAGGGAAAAGAATCTGTAAGACGGACAGTAGCACCTATTTAACCAGTAGAAAAGAAACAAGAGCACAAAAGACATTCATTAAACAAAGACAAAAGAAACGCGCAAGTCTCATACGACTTATTCCCAAAACAGAAATCATTAACCCTTATTTGATAACAACAATTTTCTCATAGCTTGTAATATCTTGATCCGTAAACTTCTTCCTAAATTTGAATTCATTAGACACCTTTGACAATCTTCATTACCAACATAGCACCGTAAGTCCTTGACCAACTTAGGACGAAAAGAGAACAATTAATTACCACAACAAATCTGAATGGCGACAGACTATCCCGTCGACAAAGAACCGGGGTCTCACCCCATCCTATGTCCCGCGACAAAGCTTTGAGGATCAGTCAAAGTCTTGGATTACTTGAACGTCCAATTACTCCTCCCCCGATTCCGACTCACTTAGAAGCTGATGATGGTTGGGAAGAAATTCAAGAGGAACCCTTTCTCAATGACGAAATCAGGCCTGACTCGCCAGGTGATTGATATGCCAGGCATCAAAAATCTCTACGACATTCCAAAGCCCAAGCAAGGTTGCTAGCAAGGTGGAAGGCTCTCAAAATCACAAATGACAGGCAATTTCATCCGACTTCAGCACTCTACATGTAATTGGACCACAAAGCACTCATACTTGACTCACGAGATTAAATGCCAGTGTCCATTGGAAAAACTTCGCCGACAACAAATTGACCTGATTGACCTTCTAAGTAGGTCAGTTGTGTTGTATTTTATCTATTCTTTACCTTTCTGTAAGTTAATGACCTATCAATGAATGTGAAAATTTGATTAGATCGCAGGAGAAAACAAGGGGTCACGTTCTGTGACTGCGTACCTGATGTAATACGCCTTCTTCATCTTGGCTACATATCTGGCTCACCTCAGTTCCTTCACACTGGCTTCTCTATTTGGCTCGTCCAATTTCACCATCAACTCTGGAACCATACAGTGGTATCAACTTCGGGCTTTATCGATGCCTTGATGGCCTTTCTGGATGAAAATGTTCTTCCAGACAAACACCTCAACCAATCAGAGGCAGAAGTCGCAAGAACATCAACCGTAGTCTGAGACGTCCTTTTGGTCAAGCAATCGACATACATTGTTGAATTCTTTCCAATCAACAAAGTCTGTTTGAAGAAGGCCTTCAACTTTCCCAACTCGATATATCAGCTGCTCAATGTTCTCTGTGCTTTGGACCGGCCGAGGGGGAAGTCAAGGTGTCTCCCAACAAACCTGATTTCATCATCGCAATGGATGGTAATTTCCAACACCGTCATCAATCTTACTCCAGCAAAGACTTTCCTCAAGAGGATCAATACCCCGACTTTTTCATTCGGACTAGCAATATTGAAAAAGAGGCTGTTGCTTGTCAACAAACTGACGCTCAAGCCAATGACATCAAGGTTTGTCTGTTTGTAATCATTCTAAATCAATCAATGCTGACGACATCTATGATTACAGACTTCTTGTTCTGATTCCCATACTGCTGCAAACGATGTTTGGAATAGCAGTTCATGGGACAGATGTGATGAAACAGGTCTGTTTGCAGGTGCATGTCGCCACGATGTACCTCTTTACTTTGTGAATATTTATCAAAGCGGCGAAAAGTGAGCTTTTGTATTGACCAAAATTGAAGTTAAGAGCTAACACATTTCCTGTGAATATAGACTGTATTACCCTGTGGCAATTCTCAAACGGCTTCGAGAACTGTATCCTGATAAGTTCATAGGTGTGCTATATGACATTGGCTGTCACTTAGGCGTACATATAACAAAGGTCAGTTGTGCTTTCATCATGTGTCTTACAGCAAATGGACTAATAAACATTCGATTGGTTTCATATCTACAGCGCGGGCTGTTTCCCCTGGACAATCTCAAAATGATGTTTGGTACTTCCGTTTTCCATGCATACGTGCATCAGTGGGCTTGTCAAATCAAATTCCACCCTTGCTTCAACGAATCTTGGGGGCTTTCCAATGGTGAGGGACTTGAAAGGCTTTGGTCTTTCTTATCTGCCCTTGCTGCCCCTCTTTTTATCTCAACTCGGCTTCATCAATTACTGGCTATTCATTGGCGTGCCTTTTTTTATGCATCCAAGGTTAAGGAAGGAAGCGGTAAGATTAGGTTTTCTGGTGAAGATATCATGTGTATACTGAATCTGAGGTGTGTTTTATTAGGACTATGGCTTCTAAGACGATATCGAAATGCGGTGAAGGTCTTGGGAGAAGCTCAATCCGCACTAAACACCCTCTTTCAAATGGCCAACCCAGCCCTACCCGGCAAAAACTATTCGGCCCTTTTTTTCCGTTCCCAATGGGCTTCTGAGCGTGAGGCATATGCAAGCAAGGATGCGATCATGCAGAAGCAGAAGTTGGAACTTGGTCGGCTATTATCTTTACAGGATGAACTTGAGGCTGCGTGGTAAGTATCATTATATATACGTATGATGACAATCACTAATACTCTTTTGATAGGTTGCAGCCGGCACTTACACCTCAACAGGCTCTCCATCGTCTTCGAACAACAGCGGAAATCAAGGAAAGCATTGCCCAGCAGGCTGCAAAAGTTGGCACAGCCAATGTCCTTCTATTAGACAAAGAGCAACAAGCATTCCTTAAGCTCTGGTACAGTAAGCATGAAGTTGGACTGAGGTACATAGCTATATGTGAGGAAAAGCGTCCTCTTCAACAGAGCCGCTCAGATGGTCATGACACAAATCTAGGTAAGTCAAGCATGTTTTTTAATATGAACGCCCAGCTTACTATCCTCTCTGGTTTGAATCTAGGTCATAAGGGCCAGACCAATCTGCTTGTTGCGCTTCGGAAGCATGTAACACAGCTGAAGAAGATAGTTGAAACTTACCAAACTCGTCGCACAGAATATCACGCAAAATATCCTGAACATCAGCTCCCGGCAGACATCAATTATAATGAACTGCTTCACATTCAAGCCGATCATCCATTCTGGAACGACTCTCTCTTCACCAAGATTGAAGCACCTTGGGCAGTTGATCCCAATACCAGGCATGGAATGCAGCAAGTTGCATATGCGGATTGAGCAAAAGAGGAGCTCAGGCGCCTTGGTTGGGAGGTTTGCCGAGGGATGCGTTGGGCAACCACCTCTCACAATTGTATCTGGGCGCTACTCATGTCTCTACGTTCAGAACCAGACACTGACCCCCATTTGGCAAACCCTTTCATTTCTCACTCAATCCTTTCATATATACCATTAGAATATCGTTGAAGTGCAGCTACAGTGATTGTCAAAAATCAGTTTGTCAAACTGACAGACTTACAGCGGACATGGCACAAAAATCTACTCAAAGTGTTCTCTCAGACACCTGCTCAGACCGGTGATGAAGACCTCAAGAACACTTGGGACACCCAACTAGATCGTATTTTTACTCTCTGCAACAAAGGTAAGTTATCCATGATTCCTGGAGATATAGACACCCCGATAGAGGATGTGGCTATGGATGAACAACATTAAGATGAAGCGGCTATGGAAGGAGGGGATGTAGTCTATATACAAGATGATGAAAGTGATGGGGATAGCACCATTGATGGAGAGGATGAAGATTTGGTTTCTGGGCTTTTACGTGGGCTCGATTTGGTGGATATCAATGCTGCTGTTGACCCGGTAACATTGTTTACATAATTAGACATATGTTGTTATTATGTGGTATTTCTGTTGCGATATGAAAGAACTGTTATGAGAAATCGATGATGGAGAAATGAAATCAAAAGACCCATACATTATATATTAAATCTTTTAAATTGACCCCTTTTTATTATTTGAAAGTGATTAAGATCAACTTGAATCTATTCCTCCCAAACACTCATCATTCAAAAGATACACAATATCTTAATTTTTGTCAAACGTGAACTTAATGCATCCAGTTCAAGTTTACCAGCAAGCGTTGTCACAAGAATTGATCAATGAATCAATTAAAATCAAGTGTGGATTTTAAAGCACTTCATGTCGCTCTGATAAACTACCCTAGCCCGTAATCTCTAGCCGTAAGCACAAGTTTATCAATGATGTTGTTCACTTGTAAAGTATAGTAAGTTCTTTTATTGTTCTTTCACTTTTTGTGGTGATGAAATACATGATCTGAGAATTCGAAGTTATCAACAAAACAAAAGATTGCTCACTGATCTGAGAGATATGAAGCCATCTGCCTGTGTGATCATTTGTCATCTACCAATGGCACGAAACGGCACAAGATGGGCACAGCTTGCTCAATCAATTAATGAAAACTATTCAGAACGTAATTTCATGAGGTGTTTAATATGAGTGTCTGCGTGAATTCCGTACCGTTGACGGCCATTCCATACCTTTTGTCGCAACTCAAAATCACACAAGTGGCACAAAATGAACTTATCTCATGCAATATCAATCTGTTTTGAATAATTGAATGTTGAATAATGGCCAGAAAGATATTTTGTGATGGGTTTATTATGAAACTTTTGGAAGAATTATTCATCTTCATTGGGTTTATTGGTTCGATGTGAATGCAAACCTCTCTCCCTTAACCTCATTAAAACCAGTAAATTGCTCATAACTCATGCTAACATGGTGATGAGGGCTTCTTAATTATTTAGATTTCTTTGAAATGTACTACAAATTAGTATGGAGCAAAAAAATCACCCTCTCCCAGAACCTCATTTGTTTGCAGGATGTTATATATCTTCATACTTGATGTTAAAAGCACAAATATGAGCATTCTTGAGCTCAGATTTTTGAGAAATTTCAAAGTGAAATTTTGCTCAAAGTTCATTAATAGACCCCCCCTAAAAAACCCTCAGGAATTCAATGGAACAATTCCTGACCTCATAACATAAAAACTGGCTGAGATATGGGCATAGAAAAATGTGTCTCAAAACTCGAAATGTGAAAAAGGGTATCAAGGAGGCTTTTTTTTCAAGAATTCTCTTATTAAATGGAAATTCAAATGAAATTTCAAACAACTTTCATTATAAAAGTTTTCAGTTTGAACCAAAATTGAGAGACATATGGGCAGTTTGTCACATTTACACCCATCCAAAAAAACACGGAAACCTAAATGTGACTATCAAGACATAGGAATTTGTCAAAATGGTATCATTAAACTCTATTTGTAATTCTGTTTGCAACAACTTTGATTATTGAAGTATCAAGTTTGACCCAAAATCACATGAGGTATGCACAATTTGAGGCCTTTGCCACCCCCAGGACATCACCAATACCTACACTTAGCCACCAAGACTAGGGATATTCCAAAATTTGTCTCAATGAACTCTAGTTAAAATTACATTTACTACATTTTTCATTACCTCATCATCAATTTTTGACAAAAATTGATCAAGATATGCCCTTGTGGACGCTTTTACCAGGACAACACTCCTAACTTTTTCATACTTGGTCAAAATACCTTGCCTAGTGGCTCTTTTTCTCCAGAAAAAGGGCATGTTTTAGATGCTACCATTCCATCTTATTACCTTACACCTCTGACAATGGTGGCAGAGGCTTAAATCATATGTCTCTCCTGCTCAGTGCTACTCTGTTTCAGAGTGGAAGCTGCAGATCACAATGCTTTGTTTTGTAATGTCAATGCACATGACAAAACATCTGTTTGCTTATCAAAAATTTACCATCAAAGTCTTCAATTTTTTCCCCTTGAGTCAGAGTACCAAAAGTTGTTTTTTTGGTGTTAAGTGCATATTTAATTGTGCTTTGGATACTCAAAAGTATAAGAACCAGGGCCACTTTTTGAAAGATGAATGTGTATCTTGGTTAGAAGAAATTTTATTTCAACATATTTCTATATATCTTGCTGTGAAGGATGTAGAAAAATTCAATGATTGTTTTGTTCTGCATCCTTGGCCTTCAATTTCTTCTCAACTTCTAGCCAAGTCAGAAACTCAAGTCAGAAACTCAGGTTTACATGCTTTCAAATGGTCAGATATATATCAAATGGTCAGAAACTCGTTTTTTTACAATTTCAAATTCACTTTGATCATAATGAAATCTTTGATTCTTATTCTTCAACCTTGAAAATTTTCCGTTACATTCCTACTGCGGCCAGAACTCGACAATGCACAATTATCCATCATACAACCAGGATGATCATGGTCAACCTCAAATGCAATCACATGTGCATGGTGCAAACCAAGATCAAGCTGACTTTTATCACACAAATTTCATTGATCACAATCATCAGCGTCAAGTTCAACCCCAACTCAATCACCAACACAGCAGTCAGCAAAGTCACGTTCAGCAACATCACAACCTTTACAACGCGTATCCTAACTCGGCTGAACCAGATGACCAAAATCCTTGCAATTCAACATATGCTAACTCAACCTATCATAACTCTAACTTCAATTCCGTGAGCACGCATGGTCAGCAAAGTCAACCATATAATCACAGGTCTCAACAAAGTCAGGTTCAACAAACAAACTTCGGTGATAGACTTCCACCTGCAAATAATCATCACATCGGCTTAGTCCATCCTGTTCTGTCTTGTCCTTCTGATATAAGCACCTTCGACATAAATCATCAAGCCCAACATCCACCTAGTTCCTCCTCAGTAACTCGTCGTCGGACCCAGGTAAAAACTCAGACAACAACTCAGAGGCGCAGGAATGGCCGTCAAACCCAAGACGCACCTGCTAGTGTACCTCGGGTGCAAGTACCACCAACAACCAAAGTGGCTGCATCTACTAGCCTGACTACGCCAACATCAACACAGACGCAGGTACCTACGACTACAAGGGCCACTGTAAATCTCTTTCTCCCTAACTCGCTCAGAGGGAACAAACACTCTCAACAACCGCCATTAGACATCCCAACACCGGAAGAGATGATGAACAAGACATCTGTTGAACTGCGAATGCTTTCAGAAAAGCATGCTACGAAAAGGGTACTGTACCACCAGCCTTGAGAAACCATTTCATGAAATTACACAAAGAGATTGATAAGGTACTGGCAATTAATTGCATAAATAACCAGGTTTCAGTCAAAGCAGTTCGTAAACTGTGGTATGTGGTAGCTTTGTTTTGATCAATCTGACACGATACAAATACATTGACGTAAACATCAACATCTTAGGGGTGAAAGGGGGGTGCGGAGAGGTCTGAACAGTTTCCAACAATGGTATAAAAGTGGCGAGGTTAGTGCGATATTCAAAGAGAGTAAGTTGTATTACTTCTTCAAATAATACATATTTCATAAAATAATGTATGTATCATTAATCTTCCAGCCTCAGGTGTAGCAAATGGACAAGGCTCGGCATTAGCATTGAGTATATGGAACGGGAAATCGCAGGAAGAGAAAGACTCCTACAAAGTACAGAATCAACCTGTGATCAGCGCGACTACGTCCAACTCAATCAATTCTGCACCCGACGCTGAAGACGGAACAGCAAGAACTGAAGTTGTCTCCAATGTGTGAGCAAAGAATATGTCTTTGGCAAGCGCGCGAGCAGCTGTAAACACTTTTATGATCAAGTTGCAAAGCGAGGTCAGTTTTTTTGGTTTATCAGAAGCAATTCTTACTGACTACATATTGTATAATTTCAGGCTAACAACATGGCCGCAACATACAAGGGTGACTTTGTCATAATAGGAGTATCAAATTACTTAGGTAATGATTCCTACCAGGTTGTCCGAGCCACACCACGCGCTCTCAAGTGGGTGGAGCACAATAGGATATGTAACCCAAAGAATCATGTTGCCGCCCAATTACATGCGTTTGTCACTGGAACCCAGGCTGGCTTACTCAATATAAGTCAAACCAAGCTTGATGGTAAGTCTCACATATCAAGTTCACCCTTCGACCAAAAAGCGTTCACCTGCCAATATGTTCAACTTCTCCTTACACAGACAGAGCAAGGTGTCGAGAATCCCTGTCTGAAATGATCAGTAAGTCCGTCTTGCTACGCTCTTGCTTTGACTTATTATCTGACTTGGGTACCCACCGCCACCTCTTTTACTTAACTTCTTCTTAGGAACAAAGACACAAGGTGTGATCAAGAAGTGGACATGGAAAGGCTGCAAGGAAAAGTTACTTGAGGACGGATACTATGTACAACTTGCCTTGGACTCTAAGTCTGACATCAGCTACATAATGCAAGATAGTAATCAGCTAACCCAAACACAAGCTCACGATGTGTTGGATGATATTTTGCAAAACAAGATCCTAATCCTGGAAACTGAGGCGGGTCCTACTCGCAAACGCAAACGTGCCCATGGGTCTGAATCTGAACCGCCCTCTACCACTTGGGAAGAACCACCCACTACTCCCACTCCTGGCAGCAACTCAGCAACCAACGTCAGCACAACTCCTATCATAAATCACTCAGCAAATGATAACGTGCCCGTGCCCGCCAATGATACCCCTATTACCAAAGATACATCAATTTCCACAGCTGTCGATACAATGTAGACAAAGACAAACAAGTACAAGAACTCAGTCTTGAAATCTTTCTTTTGGCCTCAGTATTACTGCACTTCTCTCTTGGTTATCAATGTTGATAGCTATTTTTTTGTCTTCATTTGTTGTTTTATCATTTAGATTGTCTTTGTAATGCAACCACTTGTACATATGACTTCTATTGATTGTTGCACTGTTTTTCTCTCTCTCAGTGGGGCGGTTGATGATAGATATGAATTTCAATTAACTTTTTGATTACTTCAATCGTCTTTTTGAGCAAAGTCAAAGCTGAATGTGTGTACATATTGTTGTCATTCTGTTAGAGATGCTTGACAACTTCCACTACAAACAGAAAACAATGAAACTCCAATAAATGTATGCTGGAGTGTAGCATTGGAAGTGGTAGATTTTGTTTGATGTGGGTAATATTAGGAGGTGCTTCTGCTATTTTGTAGTATACATCAATTTACATCAATTCAAGACAAAATACAAAATAATACAAGATGAAATCCAGGTAAATAATGACTCAGTGTTGAATTATTCCCACAGGGTATCTATACGGGTATCTATAATCTTCTGTTCTTGATGATAGTATTTCTCTGAGCTTGGTTTTTGAAACATAATTGATCGGCCGCGTTGATCTGTAAAAAATGAGGCCTTTGATACCTACATAAATCCTTTGACGATGCGGGTCGAACTTGATTTGTGGTGAGTTGAGTTGTAGTGGTGCGTCAGGGTGTGTCGACATGAGACTTGAGGACTTGAGGACTTCAGACTTTGAGGAGTCAAGGACTTGAGACTCGAGGGTGGATGACGTATTTAGGAGTCTCGGGGCTGCTCTATGCCTCGCTTACATTGTGTAAGTCATGTGTAGGTGCCATAGGGGTTCTTAAGCCTTATCCGGCTAGGGCTGTGACCCAACCCTGTGAGTTCAGGGCCGGCCCCGGGGCCAACTAGAGCCCTGAGCAAACCCGATGGCCTCTAAGAACTGCTCAGGGCCGACCAGGGCCGGTAAGAGAGTAGCGTGAAGGCATTTTTTGGGCGAAAAAAGGGTCGGCAACCCGGCCGGGCCGGGTGCCCAAGCTGCCCGAAGCGCCCACGGGGCCGTATTTAACCGTTATGGAAGTGCATATGGATGCCCCGGGGCACGTACCGTCAGCTTCGTGAAAGTTGTCGGGCAGAGTCGGCCGGCCGGGTCCGGGTCCGGGTCACAGCCCTATATCCGGCTAAGTTGAGTGTAACAAATCTCAAAAAACTTCTCGGTACATGTATAATTTGGATACCGGTCTGGCGAGATGGATGAGACGAGGGGGGGATTCTGTCCCGAACCAAATTTTCGAATTTAGTCACGTGACCACCTCCGTGACTGCGCAAGCAGTCATCCACCGCATTCTCCTAAGTTTTTCATCAACCTCCCTCATCTTATCACCACTTTTCTCTCTTTCCCACGTCCCTTCTAGCCTCGGTCGCGCGTTGGAATGGACCCTGGACCACCTGACCCCGACAATACGATCGTTTTGACTCCTCGCGACGATCATTCGTTCTACGACGACGCGATGGACGCAATCAACGAGGCCGAACCGCTGGTTCAACCAACGGCGAAGACCCCAATGACGCGTCAAGCATCAGTCCTCAAGAAGGGCTCCCTCCCTCCTCCGAGCACAGAAGAACCAAGTCCTTCTGTCTCTTCCACCCCTCTCTTGCGCGATCGAAAACGAACGTGTTTAGCAACTCCGCCGATCTGCCCATTCGTGGAAGTCGACAAGTTATCAACCACTCCTCGTTCGACTTGCATCGCGAAGTTGTTTCCAGGGGGCTCGACAACACGGTCCCTTGAAGTCCTCATCCAGCGACTTGTTGAAGTCACGAAGGCCACTCTTGTGCCAAAATCCAAAAAGACGAGCTCAATCAAGGTTGACATCGAGTCAGCAGCCAATATCCTACTGCTTACACTACAAGAAACATAACATTTTCTGGGCAGAAAATTAAATTATTTGTATACAAAAATCTGGAAAGGTCAGAAACAGAGCAAAAAATATGAAAAAATATGCATTCTGTTCCTTGGTTTGAGATCTCCAATCTGCATATTTTTCCGTATTTTTGGGGTTCATATTGGTGAGTGTACTAACAATAAACCCTCATAATCACCAGATTACCACCTGTAACAGATGCTGGAATTTGGCTGATCAATGCTGAGAGAAAATTTTGATTACTACAAAACCCCATAACTTCGTCAACTCTGGCTCAAAACACTCGATTTTGAGTGCATTGGAAAGCTGGTATTTGCCTGAAGATAGTTCATAAATGAACCCAATACGTGGCGGGCCTGCAAAGAAAGATATCCCCAATGAAATCGAATTTCACATATCATCAAATAGAATGTCAGCCATTGGGATTACACATTTTGAGTCAAAACGAAAGTTGTAGTTCAGGAATTCAGCTTTCTAATGCACCCAAAATCGAGTGTTTTGAGCCAGAATTGACAAAGTTATGGGGTTTTATAGTAATCAAAACTTTCTCTCAGCACTGATCAGCCAAATTCCAGCATCTGTTACAGGTGGTAATCTGGTGATTATGAGGGTTTATTGTTAGTACACTCACCAATATGAACCCCAAAAATACGGAAAAATATGCAGATTGGAGATCTCATACCAAGGAACAGGATGCATATTTTTTCACATTTTTTGCTCTGTGTCTGACCTTTCCAGATTTTTGTATACAAATAATTTAATTTTCTGCCCAGAAAATGTTATGTTTCTTGTAGTGTGACTGGGATGATCAAAGAGCAGGCGAGCGTCAACAATACCAGGCGCACTGTTTTCGACACCACTCGTAAGACAATCACCGACCCAACATCCGCCCTTACCTCGGCGTTTGACTTCAGGGTCTCTACAATCGCCGAGAGAGTCGATGTACTCTCAGAACACATTGCAAAACTGGTGGCTGATGGCCTCCCAGTGCAATCAGGGAGGAAACAACCCCCGACCAAGACCTCATATGCTTCGGCAGCGTCGAAGCACGCACCGAACGCCACCCCCTCCCAACAACCAACATCCCAGGCAAGCCCTCGGGCCCCTACCAAGACCAGTCCTCGCTCTCGCTCTGACCACACGGTCACTCTCAACCAACTGGACCCCGCAAATATAGCGGGTGTTGAAAAGTCGATCCCAGAGTTGATCAAGGTACTCAACCTGGAGCTCAAGGCAAGCAAGATCAGGGTCAAGCCCGACGATTCTGCTTCTATCAAAGTCAGAAACGTTCATCGCCATCCATCAGGCGACCTTGTAGTCTATCTAGACTCACAACGCCATGCCCAGGCCCTCCGCCACCAAGAGAAGGACTGGCTGCCGAAGATTTCCCCCAATCTTTCGGTAAAACAGGAGACCCACGCCGTAATCGTGCATGGGGTCCCTACCACCTTCAACCCATCTAGGCCAGAAGATGTTGAACTTCTGAAGACCTGTAACGGTACTCTACTGGACAAAGCCACATATGTCCGTTGGCTAAAGAAAGAAACCGGAGGTGACGCTAATAAGCGTCATTCCTCACTCCTAATTGGCTTCAAGTCACTTAGCCAAGCAACGCTCGCTGTCAAAACAAAAGTCTGGCAGGGCAGGAGCCGGCACCGCACGGAACTCAGTGGTCCTGCTCCCACTAGATGTTTCAATTGCCGATTGGTGGGGCATACCGCTGCGGCATGTCCTGTTCCCCCAATGTGCCCAACGTGTGCTGGACCACACCACGCACACACCTGCCCAGTGAAAGGCAAGCTTGCCTTGAAGTGCACAGCTTGTGCTAGAGGCAACCTTAAGGCTGACCCCAGCGCGGATATCCCTCGTCTCTTCAGGGAAAATCATGCGGACTTCCTCCATCACCCCTTTGCCCCAACTTGCGGGGCGAGAATTGCTAGTCAATTCCCGCCTCACAACCCAAGCGGCTCACCCAACATCGTCATCATTGAACAGGCCGAATTATCCAGTACTCCATGTTAGAGCACCGGATACGCGAAAAACTGTCAATGAAGAACACCGCCTCAATTCTACAATTGAATTGCAGGCACTCTAAATATGTAACTCTTTCCCTCTTTAATTCAGACTTAACTAACCTTTTTTCCGTTATAGCCATTCAGGAACCTTACGTCAATCCCATTGACAACCTCCCAACAAATCACGCCAACTGGACTTTGATATGTCCTACACCTGCATCACTTACCGAAACTGACCGGCCTCGAGCCTGCCTCTATGTGAGGCAAGATCTCTACCTGGAAATAAACCTGTTCCATCATACGTCAAGGAACGTTGCAGCTGGCGTCCTCACAATTGACGGTTTCAAGGTCTTGGTGGCGAGTGTATACAACCCACACAAGACTCTTGACGGGTTTATCGCATTTACCGACATCTTACGAACAGCTAACCTCGAAACCCAACTCCTGCCGGTGGTTTGTACCACCGACTCCAACCTCCACTCGCCTCTCTGGAACCCAGCACACAGCAAAATAATCGACAGAGACGCCGACTCCCTCATCGACATGATGACAGAATGGGGCTTGACCTTACGTTCCCCCAGAGGTCAACCTACGTTTGGACTGCACCGCAATGACACTCTAGGCACTACAATTGACTTGGTTTGGGTAAACGAAGAATTTGATGAAGCCACGATCTCGTGCTTTGTCGATAATGACGACCTATTAAACCATCAATCGGACCACCAGGCGTTGGTCACATGCTTTTCGACGCACACCACTCCAAGCCCGAGTGACAATTCCTCCGGGAGGAAGAACTGGCACAAGGTAGAGCCCATTCTATTAAAATCCGAACTCACACAGACTCTCCCCAAGCTGCAGTCTCTCCTCACTCGCCAAGACATCACCAACTTCGACGAGTCCCTACGACAAGCGGTCATCGACGCATTAAACAAGCACTCTCCGGCAAAGTCAACCAACATGAAGCATAAGCCATGGTGGAGACCCGATGTACTGGAGCCGCTTAGGAAAGCAACGGCAAAAGCACGAC